AATGTTTATACCTTTAAGAGTGGAGACAAGACTAATGAGGGAGGTGATGGATGAGGTAAAAAGCAGATCTGTGCAATCATTGTAAAATTTCCAATACCAAAGGCATACAAATTTATTAACATGCCAAAGCAAGCACAGCCTAGTGGCCCCATCTCCAAACAGTGTTATCTTTTGGCTAAATATAACTAAATGGCTTGTAACCCCTTTTCTCTAGAGGTGTGGCAAGAAAGGGGGAATCTCAAGGGTCTGATAGGTGATATTTAGAGGAACTCAAAGCATTTAGAGAGCAGACACTGACACTGGCTGACATTGGCCAAATTCCTTTCACTTGCAGAAGAGATAGTAGCTAAAATACAGTGGCCAAGGATGGTCTTTTTTATACTGTGCTGTATACACCAAGGTACATGAAAAAATTCTTGCAAGAAACTTGACAGTGTGATGTCAGCTGTATTCATGAAAGCTCATAGAAGTTACTGAAAGTGAGTCTTCCTTTGATAGGTCTGAATTTTTCCCTGGTGAGAGCCAAGGCAAAAATTTGTAGCAAGCCAAGAAGGTGGAGGACCACGAGTGGGTTAGAAGGATACGGAATAGGGCCGACTCTAAGACTTTTAACTCCTTCATAACAAATTTCTCAGGATGCCATACTTTTGCAGCTGTGTGTTCCTAGTTTTCTTTCCTTTGAGTTCTGAAGCTGACCTAGGTCTATGCTTATATAGATATGTTCCCTGTCCCTGGGAGGCACCAGTATGAAGTTCATCATAAGTCATTATAACATAGTCGATCTTTGGTTCCAGTTGCTCTTTCATCTTTATAATATAGTCAAAATGAAAATAACTGAAGGTTAGAGATTCCAAACTATGAAAGGGGAGAGTCTTCATAGTAGCCAGTGGTCCACAAGGACCTTAAAGTAGGTTATTCGTTAAGGTGGAATGAGGGCAGTACACAGATGATGTACTTGAGAGCTAGAGTGTGTGCACAATTTTTCTGAGCCTCAACTCTACCCTAAGGAAGTGGTGGCATTGAGCTTGTTTTTGCTGACAATGACAACTTACATTTTTGGTTTTTGCCCATTCTGGCCTCTTGTGGGAAGCCTGCAACATTGGTGTTGTTGATTTTTTAGACCATTTCTTTTCAACGATGGAGTCTGGCTGTGAATGTTTATGGAAAATGGGGTGGACTCTTCCATCTTCTAATTAACTGGATGATTTACCTTTGTGGATGTTTCCCCATCTTTCTCCACAGAAAGAGCCTCCGAACCTGGCATGTGTTAACTCATGTATTCCTGTAGTTCACTCCTGTAATAAGCCAGTTTTAAATAATTTTACTATGTTTCACTTTTCAAAATAAAATGTTGAAAATCTTCCAGGAACTTTCTTCTAACATAAAAATTAAACTAGTACAAGGCAGTGACAAATCTCTTAGTCGTCCATCTAGTATTTGCAGGCTGATGCCTACCTATTTTTCCATTAAGCACATTAGGTAGCAAACTAACCAGGCTAAATGTCCACCTTCATATGCCTTCCATGCTCCTCCCCTGTTTCTGAGCTGCCTCCTCTGTTAAATGACAGGTCATATGGGCTGGTTTTGAATCCTGAAGTAATTCTCTACATTATATGTTTTCACTTCAGATATGTGGATTTGTTTACATAGATATGACTTACTGATTGATTGTTTTTATCTTGTGTCCTATAAACATAAAACTGGATGCACACATGAACTTCTAGACCATAATGAGTGAATCCACAAGACCTGCAAAAAATCAAGCCAGCCCAAGTCCCAACACAGATAAGGGAGGGGCTCCTGAAGTCCCACCCTGAGCTGAGCAACTATTGGGAACTGCTGGCTGCTGGATGAAGGACAGCCAGTTCTCTTCAGGATGCAATTCCCGATTCACTGTGCTCTGGTAGACAGTCCTATTCTCATGTACATACTGACAGTGAGAAGTGGTCTTAGTGGGTTTAAAAAATACATGAAGTTGGGAGAAAAAATGGTGAGAACTGCATTTACTCTGGCCTAGTCCAAGTTACAAAGATGATATTCCTGTTCTTAAAGTTTTGGAATTGAGCAAGTGGGGAATGGATCTAACAAAAAACATGATATGCATTTATGAAATTCTGAAGCAGTAAATGAAAAATTATCAGTCACTTGAAGAATAGCAACCAGCATCAATATTAAACATGCCACCAAAAGAACATTTGTTACCAACATGAAATTCAAGCTTTTAAAAGAATACTCACCTTAGTTAAAGATGACCTTTATGTAACCTGCAGCAAAACAAAATGAACACACATCACCTGTACTTGAAGCATATAGTAAAACTTGGTTCTGTCGATTTCAATTTTATATTATTTCAGACCTAAACCAACAAGCTATTAAATTACTTATTCTCTAAAACACATGGTAAATTGGGGAATTATTTTCAAAAATTATTGGAAAAAAAACCAAACATCTATTTTAGGGAAAATTAAAAAAAATTACACCTAGTCTGAATATAAGAAAAAGGAAGAAGGTGGAGGAGGACAAAGAGGAGGGGAGACAGGAGGAGGAAAAAGTCATCTCGAGTTATGGGCATATTCTCCCAAGAGAAAAATCAAACATAAAATTTTACTTCATAATGAAATACAAAGTAGGAATCAAATGGCAGAATGTCAGTAGTCAAACAATCAATTTGCTTGAGCAGGGTTTTGGGTCCCATTACCACGTGGATTCACGTTAACAGAAGAGAGCAGTCGACAAAGATCTTTTAATACTGTGCTGTACATGCCAACACAACATAACTAAACTTTTTGTTGAAAAATGTCAGTATTTTCAAAAATAGAATTAATGAAACTATTCTCCAATAACTACGTAAGTAACACCAACTGGATCTTTGTTAGTGGGCCAGGGCCAGAGTAAACACAGTCTTCTAGACGGTGCGTATTGATTTTATTATCACTCATACCCAGAATCTCAGTGAAAGGTCAGCTAGGTTTGCTGTTTACTCTTTTGTCCAGCATGTTTTCTTCAGATTTTTTCATTCGTCAGTATTAATAAGTCATCGTTTGCTGATGGTGCGGCAAGTGCTAGGCGGTGGTGGAGGTGGGGAATGACAACTCAGGGTTCTCTCAGTTCTTATTGGATGTGTTTTATCAGCTGATTCCCTAGCTTTAGGTTTGTATGTGAGAAGTGGGGAGGGGCAGGGAAGAGGGGCTTGCAGACCTATCTTCTGTCATATACCTTCATTCCAAATATTGTCACAGTCAGAGAAAAGAAGTGTGAGCATCTATGTTTATCTTTAATTAGATATCTTAGAAAGTGAACAGAGCCAGTTAACAAAATCCTGGACTTTGATTTCACAAAAGCTGAGGGAAAATGTAGAAGGGATTATAACAGGACAGAGAAGTTGGAATTCAAATTGGATTCAGTCACTAATGTAAAGGGGGAGAGAGTGACTTCTCGGTTAAAAAGCTGCCAAGGAAAGTGATGCTGTGAAGCCCATTTTCATGTACAAGAGAGGTGAGGAATTCCACTTATCAGTATGACAAAGAGCAAATGTTGCCTGTTAATAATACAGGAAAGAGAAACACATGTCCAAATGCATTTGTGTCATACAGCTCAGTTTTCTTTTCTTTGTTGTCAAATAAGAAATCCACAGGGCATGGGGACTCGCGTTTCTGTTTTCTGTCATTATGCAAAGGTCCTCGAGGAAATAACAATAAGTTGGCTTATAAAAGGACATTAATGGAAAAATGAAAACTAGAAAGCGGAGTTTAAGCAAATTTGCGTTCGTGCCTGAGCCTTGCCTCTTGCTTTTTTGTTCCAAGTGTTTCCTTTCCAGAAAGGCCCATCTTTTTGCTGTCCTTTCTCCCAGTCTGTGAGAACCGGCCTTCTAAGCAACCTAGCAACAGAAGATACCTCCTTAGCAGCTCAAGCGATGCGCATCTGGCAAGCAGCCTCCATACTTCTCTGCTAGGTACTTGTACACAAGGCTGCTTTACAAATCGTGCAGAGGGATAGTAGGACTAATTGTGTCTGCAGTCAAGGGAACAGCGAATGCATTCCTATTGTCAGAAGGACCTGAATCTGCGACTGTATCCCAGTCTGTAGTTTAACCCAGAAGAAGAGATACTCATCTCACTGGGAAATTCATCTTACAAGATTCACCCTGTCCCTCACAATAGTGAATGGAGAAGGGCACCCAAATCCCTGCTCTTCCATCACCCAAGGACTCTTATTTTGCCATACAAGCACCGTTTCACCTTGTGGTACTGTAGTTTCCAAATAGCTGTCCAATGTACTTATGTTGAAGTGAATGGGTGCTTGTGAAATGCTACCATGGCAAGGCCAACAGGCTCTGGCTGAGATACATGTAGTTACTGGACTTGGGCAACAGATGGCAGCATTTATACATGTGAATTCATATTGACGTTTATTACTAAAAGTAAATGGTAAGTTCTCAAAAGTGCTACAATGAAAAGTCTGGCCCCTGTGATTTGGCAAATCTGTACTATTTCAGTTAGCATTTGATTATCTTTAGTTAGTATCTTTTGTAGTTTTATCCACTGGACACTCTTTCTATTACAAACAGCTTTATCTCTTACAAAAGGAACCAGCACACACACACACACACACACACACACACACACACACACACATGTCTCAATTTGAATTGTATAGAGCTGATAGCAGAAGAAAGGGGAGACCGCCCCCTGAGCACCCACCAGTGTGATCAGAAGTCACAGCTTTTCTTCTTCAGAAAATGGGTTCCCAAGGATGCTTTCTCTTTTCCAATCTACAATGGCCTCTTGCCAGTCTATAAATGCCCATAGCTGCTTCTGTCAATGGTTTTCGATTTACAGACTAAGTGCTTTATGAGGCTTAACATAGCAACACAAATATTTAAATTGCTCCTACATTTTACAACCCTAACTGCTGCATTTTATATAAGGTCCCAAAATGAATATTGTTATTGATAAAAATTGAATGCACCAAGAGGGCTTGGGATCACTGAGAGAGAAAAAATGGAACATACAGAGAAATCCAAGCTGCATGATGAGAAAGGTAAGAAATCTCCAACAAGTACATCTGCCATCCCTGAATGCCAGCAATAAGCAGAGGCGGGTATATGTTTGACCCCTCAAAAAACTGGACTCCCAATATTATTTCATAGAAACAAATATGAGTTTCAAAATGAGTAATACAGTTTTGGAAGCAAAAGAGTAATTTGTGAGGTTTCAAAATTATGTGGAAATATTGCTATCCATTAGAACCAACTTTAGTCATTTGTTTGTTTCTAGTTAGTATGAGCTGGTGTTCCTAAACTGCTTCTGTGATGGGCAACCTTCCATGTCAGGTCCCAGAACTTTGCATAGATGCACTGGGTGGAACAGAGATCTGTGAGGAAAGTCCAAAGCCTCAGTTGTGTAGATTGGTGGCGCTGCACTGCAGGCTCTGGGCGTCTAGACAGATAGACATTGCCCTGAAGCTTCAAGTGTCACCTAAAATACTAATTTAAATTAAAAATGACTACGTTTCTAACAAAAAGCAGAAAATGCTTCAGTAAGGCTAACACAAGTGTCAATGAGTATGTCTTTATGAAATGGTCTGGTGTCTGAAGGAAGCTTGCACTGTCTTATTCAGGGTAGTGTTTGTAGCCAGCTGCACGGTGCTTGGCCAGGTGCTTCCTACTGGAGTACACTTCTCACTAACAGCCAGATCCCTTCCATAGGATAGGCTGGGTTGGTATTCCAGTTCTGGTAAAGACTTTATAAACACCTCTAAGCAATGATTAAATAATACAAATTGATTGCAATTAATTTATTTGATAACTAATGATAATAAGTTCTTTTTCAGCCTTCTGAATTTATCTGAAACTTTTCCAAATGTTATTTTTTCTTTTTTTCAGATTTTTTATATGTGTTGGTTAACCTGATACTAAAAATCATAATCTATAACTGTGATACTGTTATAGATTATGGTGCATTTCCAGCAAATGGTATTGATATAAACATGACTACAAAATTTGTAATAGCTTTAACATTGCAATACTAGTTCTAAATATGCATATAGTGTGCATAAAATAGGAAACTTTAGAAAATGTAGATGAATACCAATTATATCATTAGGTATCCCAAACTGAAAACAAGCTTAACTTACTGATTAGATACCTGCAAGGTATTAAAAACTAACTGAATAATAGGTAAAGATTGGAGCCTTTTGGAAGATAACTAATACTTTTTGTAGTTGAAAAAATGATATATATTGAATTGGAGAAAAGATTTAAAATTTTAAGTAACTTTATTTTGAGAATTTAGCAGGATTTTAAAATCTCATTTTTTACTTTTATGAGATTTGTGTTGTTATTTTTAGTGTGTGTGTGTGTGTGTGTGTGTGTGTGTGTGTGTGTACATGTAAATTATGGGATGCATGCCTCGGTGCCATTGCAAATACATGGAGATCAGAGGACAAACCTGTGTAGTTTGAGGGTTCCAAAGATAGGACTCAGGCTTACTTAGGACTCTTACCTGTTGAGAACCAGCCAGCCAGGCATCTCACTTGCCCAAGGACTCATTTCTTAAATGAGAACTTGAAATCATTTCTTAAAACTCTGAATATTTAGCCATTCACTGCAACACTACTAGAAAAACAAAAATATTTAATAATGTTGAGTACCTCTCATGGTCTGTGTAATAATACACTGTGAGAAGCATTATGCTCTCTAACATGAAAAGTCATAAGGCAGATTTTATTGCTGTCAGTTAATAGAAGAAGCAGCAGGAGAATGAAAAACTTAACTTAAGTTGCTGAGGTTACAAGGGGAGGGAGGAGACCTAGACCAGAAGTTGAATTCTTCAATTGCCAATGAACCTCATCCTCTTAACTTCTCAGAAGAGGCATTGCATCGTCTAGTATAAGGTCAAAGACGATATTAACCCAAGGGACATTCTGATTGCTATTTTATATATTATCAAATATATTTTAATGAAACTCTTACTGCTGTCTACTAACCAATATCACTAATCGTTATTGAATTGATCACTGGGACTGTGAAAAGTATAAGTTCGTTTTCTAAACAGGTCGGGAGATGATCATACCACTGAACTGTAAACATCCTGATGAGTCTATGAAGGGATAAAGCAGCTGTGTGCAAAGCATACAATGCATGGAAGTCAAAACAGCAGAAGTCACACCACTGTGACCAGGATTAGCTGAGGAACTGACTGCTTGCAACTTCACTTAGGATTCTCCAGAGAATAAGCCTAACACACCCCAAGAAACTTTGTGATTCTCCAGGGAGAAAGAGGAATTAAAATCTAGAACTATTTTTAAAAGTTATGAGCTGTTACAAACAAACAAATTTGGCCTTAACAACACACCAATATGCTGCTGCCACCAATGCCTCTTCCCTAAGTAGAGCTGTTTCCAGATGGCATCAGCAGATTATCAGCAGGTTCACCTAGTCGGAACTTTTACTGATCCCTAAATAAATCGTCCAATGCAAATGATTTTGGGGTCTTTATGAATTGCATGCCATGGAGACAATCTGTCTAGTCATTTGTGAATTGTAGTTTTTATGAACAGCTTGAAGTTTTACTAACTCATTGACTTGTTTTTGTCTAATGTTTTGTGGGCACTAGGACTCTTAGGAAAGATAAGGCGTTACCTCTCAAAGAGGCCACTGCCATCTCCAACCGACCGGAAGAAGTTTGATCATGAGTTTGCCATCTCCACTTCCTTTCATGGGATACATAACATTGCCCAGAACAAAAGCAAGGTTCGAAAGGTGATCTGGCTGTCTGTGGTGCTGGGCTCTGTCTCACTCTTGGTGTGGCAAATCTACAGTCGCTTGGTCAATTATTTTGCATGGCCAACTACAACATCTATAGAGGTTCAGTATGTGGAAAAAATTGAGTTCCCAGCTGTGACATTCTGTAACTTGAACAGGTAAAAATCATTGCTTTAATCATGAATTTTAATTAATTTTAGTATAAATTTATTTGGATAATTAGCATAAGGTGTTCTGATGCAGTATTTAACATACGTTAAGAAAATTGTAATTTTTAAGTTGAACTTAAAGTACAAAGATAAGGCAAGAAACCTGCTAATTTCTTCATCAATTCATGTTTTTCCTCTTCCCTTCTTCCCTTGTGCAGTAATATGCTGGGAAAGTACCAAACTCTATGGTTAAGTAGAAGTAAAAATAATGCAGTTCCCTGAACTTAAGTTTGCTAGTAAAACAGGGGAATCCTTATTTATTTGAGTAAATATTAAACACAACATAGATATATACCCAAGTATTCTATGTGGACTGTTTTGGAGATAACTGGAAGCTCCAAGGAATAGATGAGGGAGAACTAAAAATGGACTAATGCACAATACATGGAGATCCTGGGTTTAAGTGATAATAAAATGGAAAATCTACCATAGTAGAGGCGGGACTAGCTATAGACCCAAAGGTATGTGTCTTGGTCCATTGCTTAGAGTCCTGGGCTCTGAAGACCATTACATTCTGCTGAATTCTCTGAGGACAATCTCAAGCTCCAGACCATAGTCCACTGCAGAAAGTTGCAGTCACTGTACCATGTCAGCAGCTAAAGGATAGGTTTTTCCTGTGAGGCCTTGACAAACTGAACTGTTAAAGTATTTAGTCTGAAGGAAATATAGACTGTGTAGACATGATTCATCAGGGGTATTTACTTGCTAAATGTCAGCACCAAACATGAAGTTCTGTACAGCTTAGACAGGTTTCTTCACTACTCTACCTTTTAAAAGTTGTCCTCCTGGTGGATTGGGAAAGAAACCAAAAGCTCCCCATGCCTCACTCCCCAGCCAGGGCTTCCAATGTGTTCTGGGTGATTCAGGTTTACATGTTAGCTCCACCCAGGTCCATGTGGCAGAGGCTAAATTTTTGATGACTGTGACATGGAAGCTGGGTATATCCTACATCCCTTTGATTCCCACGTGTCAGGTGGAAGAAAGACGTAAGAGGGCACACTTTAATCCTCTTTTGTGTTGAATTACCTTATGGATAGAGATTGATATCTGATAATGTTGCTAAAGGATTCATGATATCTAAGAAGGAATCAAATTTTTTTTAATAATTCCCCAGGAGACCTGTGTGTATATATGTAGGTTAGAGTTCAAACTACAAGCTTACCCTATCCTGACATTACTGACACACTTCTTCCCACTAACAACCATGTTCTGAAGCAGAAAATAATGTGTTTTAAAATGCTGAAGATAAAAAGAAAGAATAAAAAAATTGAGAAAAGTCATATGATAATACTTTTATTATTGTTATATTTTTAGAAAAGGACATATTCTTTTTTTTACTTTTATATTTAAATTAGGAGCAAGCTTGTTTTACATGTCAATCCCAGTTCCCTCTCCCTCCCCACCTCCCCTGCCACCCACCAAACTCCTATACCATCTCATTGTTGCTTCCCAGGGGGGTGAGGCCTTCCATGAGGGATCTTCAAAGTCTGTCATCATTTGGAACAGGGCCTAGGCCATCCCCCATGGGTCTAGGCTGAGATAGTATCCCTCTATGTGGAATGGGCTCCCAAAGTCTATTCGTATACTAGAGATAAATAGTGATCCACTGCCAGAGGCCCCATAGATATTCTAGGCCTCCTAATTGACACCCAAGTGCAGGGGCCCTACAACAGTTCTATGCTGGTTTCCCAGCTATCAGTCTGGGGTCCATGTGCTCCCCCTGGTTCAGGTAAGCTGTTTCTTTGGTTTTCTCCAGCCTGGGCTTGGCCCCTTTTCTCATCAGTCCTCCCTCTCTGAAACTGGATACCAGGAGTTCAGTTCAGTGTTTAGGTATGGGTGTCTGCTTCTGCTTCCATCAGCTACTGGATGAATGCTCTATAATGTCATATAAGGTAATCATCAATGTCATTATCAGGGAAGGGCATTTAAGGTAGCCTCTTGAACTATTACTTAAATTGTTAGTTGGGGTCATTCTTGTAGATTTCTGGACATTTTTCTAGTGCCAGATTTTTCTTTAAACCTATAACGGCTCCCTCTATTATGGTATCTCTTTTCTTGCTCTCCTCTATTCTTCCCCAAACTCAACTTTCCTGCTCCCTCATGTCCACCTCTCCCCTCCTCTTCTCCCCTTCTCATTCTCCAAACTCCCTCTCCCCTCCCTTCATTCTCCCAATTTGCTCAAGAGATCTTCTCCTTTTCCCATTCTCCAGGGGACTATGTATTTCTTTCTTAGGGTCCTCCTTGCTTCCTAGCTTCTCTGGCGGTGTGGATTGTAGGCTGGTAATCCTTTGCTCTATGTCTATAACCCATATATGAGTGAGTACATACCATGTTTGTCTTTTTGTGACTGGGTAAACTCACTCAGTATGGTGTCTTCTAGTTCCATCCATTTGCCTACAAATTTCAAGATTCCATTGTCCCCCTCCCTCCACTGATTAGTACTCCATTGTGTAAATGTACATTTTCTTTATCCATTCTTCAGTTGAGGGGCATCTAGTTTGCTTCCAGGTTCTGGCTATTACAAATAATGCTGCTATGAACATAGCTGAATAGATGTCCTTGTTGTATTAATGGGCATCTTTTGGGTATATCCCTAAAAGTGGATTTGCTGGATCTTTTGGTAGACTGATTCCCATTTTCCTGAGTAACTGCTATTCTGATTTCCAAAGTGCCTGTACAAGTTTACACTCCCACAGCAGTAGAGGGGCATTCCTCTTTCTCCACATCCTCTCCAGCATAAACTGTCACTGGAGTTTTTGATTTTAGCTATTCTGACAGGAGTAAGATGGTATATCAGAGTTGTTTTGATTTGCATTTCCCTGATGGCTAAGGATGTTGAGCACTTTCTTAAGTGTCTTTCATCCATTTTAGATTCCTCTGTTGAGAATTCTTTATTTAGTTCTGTACTCCATTTTTCAATTGGATTATTTGGTGTTTTGGTGAGTCGCTTCTTGAGTTCTTAGTATATTTTGGAAATCAGCCCTCTGTCAGATATGGGGTTGGTGAATATCTTTTTCCCATTCTGTGGGCTGCTGTTTTCTCTTGTCAACTGTGAAGGACATACATTATTATCAGTTACATAATTTAATAGTAGCATTGCTTTTCATCTAGACAGTAATGGAAAGTTGTCATAAACATCAGCCTCTTAGTGCATCATTGTTCAATATACTAAATGTCACACTCAATATAATAAGCTTAATATTTGCATCTGAAAGTTGCCAATCTGCTTCACTTGCAGTTTATAAAATAACCATTAATTTCAATTATGAAAAGTTTCTTTACAGTAGCAATGTACAGACAATAAGAGCTAATCTCATAAAGATACATTTGGCACAGAGACATATAAAGTTGTACAACAGATTCTGGAAAATGAGATAATTATTCATGGCCTTTTTATTTGGATCTAATCTAGTAAATTATAAATAGCTCTGTAATAGCAGATTTCCTGCTAAAATCACCATTATAGAATTCACCACAGATTTCCATTACATTTTGCCAAAATTCTTCATATCTTTTTTCTATTAAAAGTACAAACAGTGTCTTATGGATAAGAGCTCATGTACCTAATTCACTTTCTATTCTAGCATACATTGCCAAAATTATCCTTTAATGTCTCTCTACCTTATATACTTAACACCTCTTTAGTGAATTTCTTTTCTGAATCAGGAAACAAAGAAAATTACACTATAACTATAAAGTCTTCAATTCTATCAGAGATCCAAGAAGGAAATAATAGTAGCTGAGTGCAAGCAAACAACTTCCAAAAAATGTAAGAAATGTCAGAAACAGAAGACTGCCTGGACAGTCACCCAAGGTTCCTCTGCAACACTGGGGCATCCATCTTCAGCCTACAGGCCTAGCATATCTGACAGACTTTTCTGTGCAGCAGCATATTCTGAAGGGCTGTCCTATGTGTCTTGGCAAAGTTTGGTACTCACTTTCTTTTGTGTTCTGCTTGTCCAACTTGGATAGCATACTGTCAGCAGTCAAGTCAAAAGTACTTTCTTGCCCAGTGGATAACTTTTGCCACAAAGAAAGTAAACTCCATGTAGAGTTTCTTCAATGCCATCATCTTCTCTGAAGTAGATTTGGGTTGCCAGGAGCAGACATGACTCATTGTCATAAAAAATATGTTATTAAAACATCTTAAATGTCATATTCTGCAGATCTCTGAAGTTTTTGAAGACAACCTGTCTTTCTGAAATATATCTGTTTGACTTTAAAAGCATACCTAATATGACCACAAGTTTGATTGTAATGACTAAATATTAACTTTCATTTCTTTATATCCTAATGTTAATTTTCAAGGACTACAAAATTGCATTACATTATTAACTGAGTTCTATAAGTACAATATCTTGAACAAGAGTCAAAATATGTGTACAGTGTGTTCTAACAAAATAATCTCAACTTTGTATCAATATACACAATCAATATCAATGTAAAATATTTAAAACCAATAGTTTCTTTTGAAAAGTAGATTCAATAATCTACCCTTTTAGCCTGTCATATCTATATCCTTCTTTCTCTTTTTTTTTAGTACAACAAGCCTGAATTTAATCTCCTTTTTTGAACTATTTTTTAACCATTACCAATAACAACTTGCAATCAACTACCCTAAATAATGACAAATATCCATAGCCCATTGAAGAACCAAAACCACCCACCCCACCTCTTGGGACTATGGGCATCCTGTTCTTAAATTTTCTTCATGCTGTCTGGGCATGATGGCATCTTTAGGGGATCCTGAAAAGAAAAATTAGGGTTAATTTTCAATTGGTTATATTATTTGTTGTCCAGTCTCTGCATAATGGAAAGTGCTGGGCTTGTCTCAAGTCCTGGCTAGAGTAGTCTGTGAGGCTGCATCATCCATTCTAGCCTCTGGCCCTGAGCAGTTTGAAGTCCAAAGCTAAAGTTTAGGTAGTGTTTTCAGCTTAGTGGTGTTATCATAGTCATAGTAGAATCATCATTGTGGGGCCAGATCATCCTCTTGGAAACTTCAAAGTCACTCTGTTAGGTGTGGTCATAGTTCATTGCTGAAAACTGAAACATTTTAAACATCATATACAGCAGATTTCCAAGAGGCTGAAGGATCAATATTTGTTATGTACATCCAGAGTACAAAACTTAGTTCCTATTATTCTGATAGAGACTCAGACCTGAAATCATGTACAGGAAGCTAGATGAAGCCTTTTTCTAGAATTAGTTAATATTCTATATAACCATTAATATGATAAAATGTTTAATATATGTGTATATATTAATCTGCATATATTAACCCTAAAATTTTTGAGGTAATATCTATACATTAAGAAAAACTTTAAAGATTCAAAATAAAACCAAATATTATGAAATTAGTGGCAATACAATAGTCCCTTATTTTTGCTTTTCTTCTGTCTCCTATCAGGTGATAGGAGACATCCTATCCTATCCTTCAGACATGAAACAGAGATTTTGGATTTTAATTTAACAAGCGTGCTTGGGTTTAGAGAAGGAGAGAGCCACACTCCAACTCCAAAGCCAGCTTTAATTTTTAATTGGACAGGGACTACAAAAAGACCATGTGTATTAAATGTTTGTAGACAGAAGCAGAAACAAACATTTGGGAAGATTTATGAAATTTTATCCTGTTGGAAATGTGATATGCTATCATACCAAATTACTCCTTTTCTTGGGACATTTTTTTTTCTGGATGATTTGTTCTTTTTCTTCACATGTCTTATTTGTCCAGTAGTCTTCAGATTCCTTAGCTGGATGCCTTCATTATCCTGAAAAGACAAAAACAAAACCTTTATCCAACCTTAATTTCGGGAAGGTTACCTTGTCAAGTTCTATCTGATCAAATGAAAAACATTTGTTAGTTTTAAAGTTAGTTTAGATTAAATGACCATGCTGTTTGATGAACTATCACCTCTTGTAATCAAGAGGTCTCTCTTGTTCAGTCTAATCTTTATCAATTTTGATGGTACCCATAACTTTTCTTTCCCATGGAAACAATGACGAAAGGTAGAAATTGTGTAACCAATACAACCCTTTACAAATGTAGTTTTGCCTTGTTTCTACCTTCTAGAAAATTAACTTTTATCATTCTAACCAATGTCTTCATTCCTTAATAGATTCAAAACCGAGGCTGCATCTAAATTCAGCATCATTTTCTTCTTATGGGATGTAGTTTCCAAAGTCCTCCGCCTTCAGGAAATTAGTGCCAACAACACTGACTCTCTAGAGACTTTAGATTTTGTTACAAGTCATCAAAACTTCAGCATTACAGAATTTGTCAAGAAAAATGGTTTTTATCTCAATCAGGACACTTTGTTGCACTGTAAATTTTTTGGAAAACCATGTGGTCCAAAGGTAATAGTTGAATATTTCTCTAAATTTAATCAAGATAGTAGACTATGATTTTATTCTCAAATAAAAATCCCTAGAGAAACAAACCTATTTATATAAGTGCATTTCATTAGCTCTGCTAACTTCTGCTTTGTAGTAGCAGGAGATGTGGGATCCATGTGAGACAAATCTCTTCCTTCAAGAAGTTCCAGATGGGGTTGGAGAGGTGGCTAAGGGGGAAGATCATTACTTGCTGTACAAGCATGTCAATCTGAGTTCAAATCCAGCAGCCTTAGAAACTGGTGCTGCTGTGTGCCTGCAGGCAGCTGAGGCAGGAGGATGGGGGGGGGGATGGATACCAGCCTAGCTTCAGGAAATAATGTGGAAGGTGACAGATGGATACTCAAAGTTGTCCTTAGGCATCACACATAAAAGAGCATTGCATAAGCACACATGTGCGTGCACACACACACACACACACACACACACACACACACACACACACACACACAGAGAGAGAGAGAGAGAGAGAGAGAGAGAGAGAGAGAGAGAGAGAGAGAGAGAGAGAGAGATGGCTAAAGAAAATGATAGAAAACTTTTGAAGGCCCTTTTTGAAGTATAGTTTGTTTTTTTTTTTGTTTTGTTTTGTTTTGTTTTGTTTTTACGAAGTAAAAGATCGTAACACAATAGGATACTGTAATTTTTCCTTATCTTTCAACACCATATTTGAAGAAAGCATTTGTGTCCTCCTTAAGAGCTATCACACTGTTTTTAGATAGTGGCATTTTATGAGAATACACAGAAATGAGTCTTCTAGTCTTCAACTAAGAATTATGTGTCACATGCACAATATGTGCAGTGAGCTTTATATTCACGTGTATCACATCTAAAATTCTATTTCAATTACTTGTACAATTAGTCTAAGATAAAGCACAGCATGCCTGGAATCTGATCTGTTATTTCCTGCCTATCCAATCCCTATTCTATGAGAGAGATTCAAAGTGAACATCAAGTTCATAATCCCAGGAGACAACCAGGCTTCTGAGAGGGACAAAATGGATACTCCTGAGAGTGGACAGGGATAATGACAAGCAGAAGGATGGCTTGAACTCTAACCTAAAGGGGCTCTTCTTCCTTGCTTTGTTTTTACTAACACATTGCAATTCACTACTGAGAAAATTTTCACTAGTGATAATATACATTATGAAACCCCACTTCTAATAATCTCTGAAGTCAATATATGAATTAGGGTTTAGTTTCCTGAGTAATATAAAAGCAGGCCTGACTTGAGAAAACGCTGTACCAATGAGCCTCCTTACTGTGATTCTTCTTCCTGGTCTCTTAACTTTTCCTGCCTGCTTTGGGATGCTATCTCCCCACAGAGAGCCAAAACTTCAGCCACCAAAATTTTCTCACAGTGACGTATTAGCACTCAAGAATCCAATGGAAGGCTCATCATCTGTTCTTAAATCAGTTAGTGAGGCAAGAAGTTAGGGTAAACAGATCACCCCATGTTATACAACACACACATCTTTGTGGAGGATGGGATAGTTATCATTAGAGGTCAATGGAGAGCAGAACGTGACTGATGGAGTGGTGATGTGTCAAAGGAGGGGTGTGAAAGCCATTCATCAAAGTCTAAAAACAAGTTTCTATGAATCATTACTTAAAAAGTAAAGCAAATTATTTTTAATTGTTATTTTAAAAAAGCATTCTTGCCAGGCGTTGGTGGTGCAAGCCTTTAATCCCAGCACTCGGGAGGCAGAGGAAGGCGGGTCGCTGTGAGTTCCAGGCCAGTCTCCAGAGCGAGTGCCAGGATAGACACCAAAGCTACACAGAGAAACCCTGTCTCAAAAAGCCAAAAAATAATAAAAAAGCATTCTTAATTATATGTGACAACATCTCATTTTTAAAATTACAGGCTAAATGACCTAAATGTTCATTATACAAGTCAAAACTGTTGATAAAATAAATGCACAAATTGCCAGACTATGAAAACTTTCTGACATAGGCAATCACATATAAAATTTTGCAAGTATAGAAAATGGTAGGGTGATTGGAACTTTGGGGCATTGAAAAGTTCTCCACTGATTGTGTTCTATTTGATTCATTTTCATATTGGAGGATTTCAAACACGTTTTTACTGAATATGGAAATTGCTTTACTTTTAACCATGGTGAGAATATCCAAAGCAAGAATAAAGTGAGTTTGTCTGGAAGAGGCTTAAAGCTGCTCTTCGATGTCCATCAGGTATCCACTTTACTTCATTTTAGTTTGGGCACATGACTCAATTTTTAGTAAAAATATTTTCTCTGTCAAGCAAGTTCCACCAGTTGAGTTTATTTCACCCTAATTCACTCTAATGCCCATTGAATTGTGAATTACTGTTATCTTACAGCTTCAGAATGCAGATGCAGCGACACAATATTAGCTGTTCTACCACCTTCTATTATCATAATCCCAGGGATCATGTATGCACTAGAGTAAAGAAATGGAAAGTTCTGTCATCCCATGTATACAGCTGATGACACTACCACTAAAAACACAATTGTAGTAGAATTTCCATCTGAACATAGAAATGGCTTTTGAGAAGAACTCTATATATATATTGATTCATCATAGAATTCTTCTCTAAAAAGAAGAAAAGACCCTACTATGTAAGAATAGTACATACATACACTTTACCTAAACCTTATTGTTCATTGGTTTGCTTTTGTTTGTGGTTATTGTTTGTAACTGGCCTATGAAGTTGTATTTGAACCTAAGACTCAGGTGTCCCAACATCCAAGAATTGCATTGCTGTTACTTCAAAGGTGCTGGATGAATAGCTTTGATACCTGCCCTCTGCTACCAAGGGTTTGTAGATCAGTATTCTTCTATGCTGGTAGAGTATGTATTGAAAGACAAACAATGAATGACAGAGAAAGATTGTCATCTAATCTTTAATCACAGAAAATTACTGCATCCTCCATAAAAATGAATGAGGTCATGACTCCTTTTAAAGAACTTCTGTTAATACCATCTTCATAGCTTCCAGCTGTATCTCACTTAAAATAATTGTACTTATTCCAAAACATAACCCTGCACTCAGAAAGTATTTGACCAATATTTATACTATTTAGATAATAGCCCTAGGGTTAGTTTAAACATTAATTATGAATTTTTATTAGTGTAAAATCCAAAATATTTGTATAATACAAATAAAACCTACAAATATAATATGATGTTCCATAAGCAAATGGCACCTAGATGGTTCTGTAGAGCAACCTAGTCAATACTTCTTAGAAGATTTTAACAAGTCCAGAACAAATGGGCCTCTGAGTTCCAGGAGTTTAAAGCTTGCTCTTCAAAGGATAATTACATAATATTGGACTGATTCATTGCACAATCTCTATATGTGCACATTCAATCTTTTCCTTATAGCCTAAAACTGCAATATCACTAACAATTTACATGCTAGTATCTTTACCTGATACAGATGTATATTTTTTAAAGGTCATTAGAGAAATAGTGTGGATTTTCACAATTATTGAAGAAGACATTTGAATTTTGAACAAGGTTTAATTACAAAGACACCTGCATCAGGAAAGAAAGAGCCAAGTAGGGACTTCTGAAAGGCACCTAGAAGATGAGACAGTCAGAGGAAGTAAGGTCATCAGCTGACACCATTGTGCTTGTGGATTTACTCAGGAATAACTGACACAGGTGTACTTGTAAACTCAGGAGCAGTTGCCTGTGATACAGCCTGGAAACAGGTGTTTTAGATACCTAATTTCAACACCTCACACACAATAGATTGAAGCCTACTATGATATAACTGATTTTAAGAAGTTATCTGTGAATTGCTGAAAACAAACCTTGAACTCCAGTGGAGCTATTATCCATGTATGTGTGTGTGTGTGTGCTCCCTTCAGGAGGAATTTACTGATAATCCCATACCTGGTTTTGCTGATGCTGGGATCATCTTTGTTATTCACTCCCCAAAGAAGGAGCCACAGTTTGATGGCTTAGGTTTGTCTTCTCCTGTGGGGATGCATGCACGGGTGACCATCCGCCAACTAAAGGTAAGAACTTGGGTGATGTGGAGAAAGCAGAAATTAGTTGGTAATAAATGCATTAAACATACAAATAACCTTTTCCATGACAGACCCTTTTCTCCTATGCATTTAAGCTATGGCTGGAAAGGCCAACACTACATTTAATAGTCTTTTTCTTTATGTGGAGGCTTCTCTGTAGTAAAAGGCAGTAGATTCCTATGTACAACCTAAGTGAGCGTGGGAAAGCCTATTAAATCCAAGGTAAGTTCACATGGCACTAAGAACAGGAAAGTAAACTTCAGAATTGAGTGTTTCCTCTGTGAAGCCATATGCAAAGCATTTTTAAAAAGGAAAAAAAAAAAAACCCTAAAGTGCAAGATCAGCGTCATGGAGACAAGCCAATGTGGCAGGCTTCCATGTGACAGACTTAACTCAGGAACTCCCTTAATTAGCTTTCTGAATTTGCATCCACTCCTTGTACTCTTGGCTAGTTAGACAGGTGTCCTTTCCAAAGATAGGATGTTTAAGTGAAGTAACATAAAGGAAGCAAAGTACTTGTTGCATTTTAAATAAATGTTGTTCAACAAAGGATTAATTTTTGTCATATTGTTTGGTGTTTGAGAGTCATCTGAGTAATATGATGACATAACATTTGTATAAATGTTTTTTCCTTATGTGAATTAATTTTAGAATGGTTGACGTAGCTGATGTTTTCACTTAACATTTAGGTTAAAGACATAAACTCTGCTATTGTAGTGGCCATCAGGGCTTTCAAGATAGTAGTGTGGACACATGGGTAAATTTAGCGTATTGAAAAATACTTTTAAAAGTGCAGAGATAAGTCAAAGTGTATATCATCCTTTCATGGAAAATGTGAATCAACAGATGTCTGTCTCCTAACCTTGGCACCTGTTGTCTTCAGACAGTCCACCAGGAATACCCGTGGGGAGAGTGCAACCCTGACATCAAGTTGAGGAACTTTAACACCTATAACACTTACAGTTGTTTGAAGGAGTGCAAAGCCCAGCATATACAGAGGCTGTGTGGATGCTTGCCCTTTCTGCTTCCAGGTAGATAAAGACTGACAACTTCTCCCACACACTCCTTAATTGGAAGCATAGAAAGTTTGTGTGTCTTGAGTTGTTTTCCATTCTCATGAAAGTCCATGCTGGAAAATGGTCCACTTGCCTCTTTTTATCTCAGCTGTTCCATTTGAAAGCATGAAAGCATCACAGAGGTTTCCAGGAAAGAAAATGATGCTGTCAGTCTAGGTCCTCAATTCTTAATTAGAAGGCTAAAGTCAGATGCCCTTAAATACCTTAAATTGAATGAATGTCGAGGGGTTTGCAATTTGTAATTAAAAATTAGGTTATGCCGGGCACTGGTGGCGCTCACCTTTAATCCCAGCACTCAGGAGGCAGAGGCAGGTGGATCTCTGTGAGTTCAAGACCAGCCTGGTCTCCAGAGCAAGTGCCAGGATAGGCTCCAAAGCTACACAGAGAAACCCTGTCTCAAAAAACCAAAAACATAAAAAATAAAAATAAAAATTAGGTCATTATACATATAGCACTGCAAACCCTAATGATATCACTGTTGGGAAATTCTTTGCCTTGTGATGGTGAAAGAAACTTCAAGTCTTCTTTGCACACAGTCTCATGTTTTTCCAGGACCAGGGATCCCTCAAGCAATTAATGAGCCAGGGCTAAAATTTGGTTCTGATTTCACACTTTCTCATCTAGCCCTTGTCACACTGCTCTGTGCTTCCTATAAAATGGGGAGAATTGGGTCCTCCAGAGCAGGGTCCTTATGAAGATGAAACAAGTGACAGAAAATATAGATAAAATCTATAGAAATGATGGGCAATTTAATTTGTATTTATCCTGTTGCCTTTCCTTAGTAGGTCCATAAAGAGATTGGGTTATTAGAGAAGTAGAAAGGAAAGAATAAAACTGTGGCCTCTCTAAATCATTCATGCTCTCTCTCTCTCTCTCTCTCTCTCTCTCTCTCTCTCTCTCTCTCTCTGTGTGTGTGTGTGTGTGTGTGTGTGTGTTTGTGTATATTTACCCTCTATCTTTCTATCTACTTCTTTCTCTTTCTATCTCAATAAAGGTTCACAGAAATGTTATTATTTCAATAAGCAGTAAGGAAAAACAAAAGTGTGCACTAACTTCCTCTCTTTCTCTCTTTATTTTCTATCCCCCTCCCTCTCTCCATCTGCCAGGCACCCTCTCTCTCCCTCTCCCTCTCCATTTGGGGCATAGTCTTTCCCTATAGCCTCACACGCATTCTGAAAACATTCTCAGAGCACAATTTCCTTTAAATTTTGAAGATTACTGAGTAAACATTGTGACTTATCTCAGAGACCACTTGTGTTATACCAATAAACAAATATCTGATTACAATCAAAGGCTTTTTAAAATCAGCTCAGGTAATAAACCTAGGTCAAATATAAATTTTTTTCTTTGTCTCAAGATACAGCAGGTGCATAACAAACATTGCCACTTATATGACCTAATAAAACCCCTAAAACATCCCCAACCTTCCTAATACTGTGACCCTTTAATGTAGTTCCTAATAACCCTTTAATGCTATGGTAACCTCCAACCATAAAATTATTTTCATTATTATCTCATAATTGTAATTTTACAACTGTTATGAATTGTAATGTAATATTTTTAGAGACAGAGATTTGCCAAAGGAGGTGCAACCCATAGGTTGAGAACTTAAGGCAGTTCATCAATG